GGCGGGGGAAATTGAACCGTGCGGCGAACTCCATCCTGGCCGGCCTGGCCCGAGGGGCTCGGGGCTCGGGGCTCAGGGACCCAGGGAGCCCAGGGTGGACGGGATCGCCGTCTCGGGAGGCGCAGAGACCAGAGGCTGACCAGTCCTGAAGGACGGCCCTTGACAGGGGTAAGCCCAGGCTCAAACTCAAGGGCGTTCCCAGGAGCCGAGGCTAGATCCCAGTCCTCCCGCGCTCAGAGGGAGGGGCCTTCCCTGTCCCCCTGGGGTGTCCAGCCAGGGGCTGAAGGGGAGCCTGCCGGCTGGCTGGCTGCTGGTTCCTCCCTGGCTGTGTGGTTGGTGAGCGGCCCCTGAGGGGTGCCCGGATACCTCATGCCTGCCAGGGTCCCACCCTGTGTCTCGGGTGGTGACAACTCCGCCCTCCCCGCAGCCCAGGAGAGGAACCCCCACCAGGCAGATCTTCTGAGCCCCTGGGCCCACCTGCCCTCGTGGCCCCCACCCCTGCCTTCTGTCCCCCACTGCGTGTACTCAGAGCTCCAGCACTAGCCGTTCCTGGTCCCCGAGTTCCCCCCAGAGGTGAGGCCCGTCAGTGAGATCTCAGTACCGAAGCCTGGACAGTGAGAGGCCCAGACCTCCTGTCCTTCACAGAAGGCAGAGCGGCAGGTGCCTGCCTCCAACCTTCTGGTGTCACAGGTGGGGACACTGGAGCCCCAGGAAGGTTGGGGTGGGGGGGTCCGGGTCACACAGGAATTTAGAGCAAGGCCTAGGTGCCAGCTCCTGATGGGGCATCTGCAGAAGCACCCTGGGGACCTTGGCACCTGCGCCTTGAGAAGTGGGGGCTGCCCTCTCCGAGGGGCTTTGGGTCGGAGTTCCAGGGTGCAGGACGCCCGCCCTTCTGGTTCTGTGGGGCTTCAGGAGCTCCTTTCTCTTCGTCCCCACTCTTGTTCTAACCCAAGTGCCCTCATTTTGCTCCCACGAAGGCAAGAGCTTTGTGAGGTTTCTAGGCTTCCCGTGGTCACTGAATGGCCAGTGTTTGTCCCGACCCTTTCTGGGCGCCCGTCTCCCCATCTGTAGAATGGGAATGGCACGGCGAAGGGGAAGCCTCTGAGGACCTCTGAAGGACTCCGGAGGCTCTGGGCCTGCCGATGGTGTGCAGAGGAGGGCACAGTGGCTCAGGGTCACGGGAGATGCAGGCCCCGGAGCTGGGGTACGAACCCCGGCCTTTGGGGCTCTGCTTCTGTGGGCCGGGGGGCGGGGAGAGGGGAGCTATGTCAATCTCCTCCGATTTTAGCTGGAATTGTTTTTACTTTTAAAATGACGCAACTCAATGACCCAGAAATTCTCTCTCCAGGTGCTTCCCCTGGGAGTTGGACCACCTGTCTGCCCACTCACACTTCGAGCAGTGTTGTCTACAGTAGGCCGGAAGGGGAGATGCCCACATGTCCCTGAACAGATGAGCAGAAAAAGAAATGTGCTCTGTGTACCTGTTGTGTCTGGTGAAATATTACTCAGCAACGAAAAGGAAGGCCATTTGACACCAGGCCAAACCCTGAGGATGTTATGAAGTGCGATAGCCCGGTTACAAGAGGTAGACGTGGTGTCCACTCCTAGGAGGGACCCAGGACGGTCATGCCCCTAGAGACTGCACGCAGATCACAGGGTCCCAGGCCCAGGGGAAAGGGGGACCCGGGATGACAGCTTCATGGGCACAAAGTGTATGTTTGGAGCGATGAGAAGTTTGGAAATAGACGGTGGTGAAGGTTGCTCAGCGGTGAGTGTCTGTAATGCCACTGAGTTGTGCACTGAAAAAAATGATGCCCTTAAAAATTTT